GGAAGGATGGTGTGAATGCACCCACAGGTGCCCAGGAAGAAAGGCCTGCCTATATGCTTCTGAAGGGTCACAGTGATGGGTACCTCCACGGAGCACCGTTCTCCTGTGAAACCGACAGGTCCCCACGAGGGACAGAATAACAGCTGAGCAGTGCTGGTCCAGAGAGCACATCATCAAGCATTTCCTCTCAGGCAGCTTCTTCCCTGCTTGCTTCCTTTGCCCCCTTGGCCTGCTTCGAAGGAATTACGGGGAAGAAGGAGCTGACCTTGTGGGGAAAGGGAAATGCCCGCAGCCAGCTCAGAGATCACCTTGTCACCTCACGGCATGTGTGGAGAATAACAGGGGCCCACAGCGCTCTGGAGGCCTCCCATCGTGGCCCTTCCCACCGTCTCCAGTGGGATCTCCGGCCATCCCTCCGCTGTGGCTTCTCAGAGCAACCGCCGTATCATCTGCACGAAACTGACTGTGGAGGGAGATTTTTGTAGACCAGAGACCCCTTCGCCTGGGGAAAGATACATCTCATTAGGAATGCTTGTGCTAATCACACTGCTCTGACGGTACGACTTCCAAGTCATAACAACTGTCCCAAGCAAAGGCAAAGCACCGTCGTTGCTAACGAACTGCCTGGAAAAGGTCGGCATCACTCCAAGCCTTGAAACGCGGGATGGATACAGTCCCCACCCCCATCCTTCTCCATCTGCTCCCAGGGCACCTTCTCCCTCCGACCCTCGCCGTCCAGAGCTGGGCCCGAGCTCCCAAGTCAGATGCCCATTCTCTTTCAGACCAGCTGCGCAGGCTGCATGTCTGGCACCCTGACCACCTAGGGAGTCCGTGGAATCTCGGAGTATCTATGGAGCTGTTGGCTACGAGGGTGGCATGTGGTAAGAGAACGCCATCGTTCAAATGGATAACTAGGCAGTCTCTGCCATCTCTCACTACCCGTATGGGACTCAAAGAATTCACAGAGAAGATAGCAGCCTTGCTGTTGTTGCTAGGGGCCATCAAGTAAGTTCCAACTCATAGTGACCCCATCTGTGTCCCGGAGACGGAAATACTGCCCAATCCTGTGTCATCCTCACAGTTGTCCCGATGTTGGAACCCACTGTTGCAGCCACCATGTCAGGCCATCTCATGAAGGGTCTTCCTCTTTTTCAATGACCTACTTGACCAAGCATGGTGTCCTCTGCAGGGACTAGTCCCTCCTGGTGACACGTCCAAACTATGTGAAAGGACGTTTCGCCATCCACCCTTCCAAGGAGCATTCTGGCTGGACTTCTCCCAAGACAGGCCTTCTTCCTTCTGGCAATCCATGACATATTCCTTATTCTTTCCCAATGTGTCACGATTCAAAGGAATTAATTGTCTTTGGGCCTTTTTATTCATTGCCCAGCATTCACATGCAAATAAGGCAATTGGAAATACTACGGTTTGGGAGGTGTTTATCCTCAAGTGAAACCTGAGTTTTCAAATGTCTTAAAAAGGTCTTTTGCACCCGATTTCTTGACTGTTGTGTCCATGGGCACTGATTATTGAGCCAAGTAAAATGAAATGTTTGACCACGTCAAACCTTTTCTTGGTTTAACATGATGTTCTCATTAGTATAGTTGTGAGAATTTCTGTTGCCTTTATGTTGAGAGGTAAAATCTACATTGAAGGTTGTAGTCTTTGAACTTGATCAGGAAGAGCAAGTCACCCTTGATTTCAGCAAGCAAGGTGGTGTAATCTGAATTATGTAGCGTGTTAGCAAGCCTTCCTCCAATCTTTATTGTCTAGCTTCTTGAATTAGTTGCTCAGCATACAGATTTCATAAGTATGGTGAAAGGATACAACTCTGATACGTGCTTTCCCTGACTGTACACCATTCAGTAGTCCCTTGTTCTGCTGGAACAACTGCCTATAGATCCAGGTGAGGTTTGACACGAGCACAAGTAAGCGTTCTGCAACTCCTGTTCTCTGCCATGTAATTCATAATTTGTTGCAATCCAAATAGTTGAATGAAATTCTTTTTGAGTCAGCAACTCTGCATTCCTCCCTCATATTCTGATGCTTCCTATGTCATTAAAAATATTTCACCTCGAGGCTTGGCTTTTCTTTCAGGGCTTTCAGTTTGAGAAATGTTAAGTGTAGTCTTCCCCCTTTGCAGTCTTTGGGCATTTTCTTTTCCTATTTTACTTTTTCTTATGGCTACAGATTTATTACAACCAAAAAGGATACAAATAAAGAGACTCGTGAAATGTTGGAGATCCTGTGTACAGAATGGGGAAAATATAAATTTTCATATACATGGTCAACCAAGAAGCTCATCTAAGCCTTAAGGCTCAGGGCTCTTAGCAGTCTCACTACATTCCATCTTGCTCCTCAGACTTAGTGAGCATCCACCCCCAGCTGCTCCTCTTGGTTGCTCAGCCCCGTTCCTTAACTTCAAGTGTTGGTCCAGTTCCAAAGAAGCAGGAATAAAGGGCCAAATTCTTTTGACAAGATGATACCATCATCATCTCACAACAATACACTTTAAAACAAAATACTTGTCAGCAATAAAATTAGTATTTCTAAGGAAATGATTCATTCCTCAATTGGTATTGCCTTTTTTCAAACCAAATATATATAAACTTTTTGCAAATTTGGTGAAGGTTTGCAGAACAGATCATGAGTCTTATATTTAACAATTCATACACATTTTGTTTGAACTCATCCATTGTACAGTCCCCCCAATGTACCACCACTTGTTCCATTTTGTATCTGTGTTTCCTATTTCAATTCCTCTTTTCATTCCTTACCCTATGAACTTTGTCATTGGGTAAATTGAGCACCTTTCATTTTAAATGGTCAGTTATTCTACCACAGAGTGAGTTCAGGTCTAGACTTATACGGTGACTAAGGCCATAGACTCTGTGGTCCTACGGTCTCTATCCAACTAGTAAGCCTGGTTTCTTCCAAGATTTTCAGGTTTGTTCCACATTTTTCTTCCATTCTCTACAGGGTCTTCTAATGTGATCCTTTTCAGAGCAGTTGGTAGTGATAGCCAGGCACCATCTAGTTCTTCTGGTCTCAGGGTTGTAAAGATTGATGTTTGCGTGGCCCCCTCGACTAATTGCTTCCGTATGTCTTTTGATTTTCATCACTTTTATTTCTCCCAGACAGGGAGAGACCAAGGGTTGCTCATGAGTTTTTAAGAGTCCAGTCGATAGTCACCCAAGTGGTGAATGTTCACCCACATGGGAGACAGATTTTCGTTTTTGTGAACGATGTCGTGCCAACAGACCTTGGTGATCCCTGAGACTATGGTTCAGCTCCCCTAAGTCCACTAACTCACCCCACAATTTCCACGACATATTTTTGGAACTCTTTGTATTACTGTTCAAAAAATAATTCTGTCAATTCAATGACTCCCTGTTATTGTTAGGTGCCATTGGGTCTGTCCCAACTCCTAGCGACCCGATGTACATCAAACAAAACAATACCTGGACCGTGACAGCCTCACACGTGTTCTTATATTTGAACTCATCAAGGCAGCCACTGTGTCAGTCCCCCTTGTTGAAGGTCTACGCTTTTTCCAGTCCCCTGCTATTTTACCACGCATGACATCCCTTTCGAGTGACTGTCTCTCCTGACAACATGCCCAAAGTACTTGAGACACAGGCTTGACATCCTTGCCTCCAACGAGCACTCTGGCTGTGCACCTTCCAAGGCAGATGTTTGCTCTTTTAGCAGTCCACGGTACTGTCAATGTCCTATAACCCCTTATTTTCAACCGAACATGGTTTTATTGGTCTGAACAACTTCATTTATTTACCTGGGTTGACTTCAAGTGTTTCTTGGCTTCTCCTAAAAACACAAACTTATTCTCAAAGGGTAAACATCCACAATGAATAAAACGATTCAAACAAAATAAAAAACTGGAAACAGTCCTTGAAAACAAAGTTTTCAAAACATTTATCTTTTGCGTAAGAACAACATTCATAATACCTGAGTAGCCACCCAAGATGACCACTCTGAAGGTGTCATTATTTTTGGAAAAGAAGTGACCCCTTTATGAATGAATGAAAAACCCTAAAGACTATATGGTTAGACTTATCATATTCCAAAATTAACTAACAAGAAAGTTGTGAGTCCATGATTCTATGTCCGATAGATAAATGAAGCAGCATCAGTTGTTGCTTTGATCCTGGGGGCAGCCAGTAAAGGTAGAATTCCAGGCTGGGGACTCTGGGAGTTCCTGGGATCCTTGTTTATGGAAGGTAAGACTCCTGTAACTTTTCCCTTCATTTTCCTTTGGGCATCATTTGTCAACAGTGGCTGCTAATAAGGATCATCTGGGCAGCCTAAAAACATAGCAAATGAATGGCTGTTTTCAGAGCAAGTCA